ATAGAGAATCAGCGCCAGAAACAAAAGAAGGCAAGGAAGCGCACGTATATAGCTAGAAAGGGTATTCTATCAGGTGAAGAAGCAGCCGATCGTGCACAACCTGTACAGGAAGGGGCAGCAGAGGAGGCAGCAGAGGAGGCAGCAGAGCCACCGGCCGAGCGGCCACAGCGAGCAAAACCTAGGTGCAGCATGTGCGAATCAACAGAACACAATGCACGTACGTGCCCTAGGCGGCAGGCAGCTAGCTAGTATGTAGCTGCATTAAATATATTTGTTCGTGGTGGAGTAATTCGGAATATTTGGCCTCGGTAGCGTGGTTGGGTGGGCCACTAGCTTGTGCGGGCCACTAACTTGTGGATTACGTTATAAAAAGAAATATATTATATAATATAAAGTAACTTAAGCTTATATTAGCTAAATAAACTATTAGTAAAAGCCTTTATATAAAAAAGTATATAGAAAAGAAAAAGTATAGAATTAAGTAGATTTTAGAAAAGAATAGAAGTAATTACTAACTTATATACGGCTACTACCTTATATATAGATTCCGAAAATTAACCTAAATTATAACTTAAAGCTTTATAATATAATATAACGTCCTATATATATAAAAATTAAGGAGGTAAAGTAACTAAAGCTGCTCTTTTATTCTATATATATAACGTTATTATTAAATTAAAAAAAAAGCTTTTTTTAATACTATAGTTAGCCTAAAGCTATAAAGGCCTTTTCCTTTTCTAAATTAATTATTACCTTTTATTCTGCCTTTCTTAAGCCCTTCTTTATTAGTATAAATAGCTTTTTAGCTTTACTTTCGCCAATTAATTACCTAAATACCTGCTAGGCTTCTTTTTTCTTATATATATCCTTTTTTTACTAAGTAATATAAGCAGCTATTTAAGCCTGCTTTTCTAGCTTCTTTTTCTTTTTTAAAAGCTTTCTTTTTTCTATTTTTTCCTTTTAGGCACTTTTTTAAAGCTACGCTTAAAGCTTAGTATTTTTTTTAGCGGCTTCTAGGCGGGCTTTTTCCTTTTCTTTTAAATATAGGGCTTTTTTCTATACTTATACCTTATAAAAGCTATAAAAAGTAGTACTACCTATATTATTCTAGTAAAAAAAAGGCTTATAATACTTATACTATAATTATATAAGGTAACCGGAGCACCTATAGTATATAGCTATAAAATAGGATATAAATACACCCTTTCTAATTTATACAGCCTGCCTGCGCAGGCGTATAGCCTATAAAGCCTTTATAAGTTACGTGCTTACTTAGGCTAAAGTATATATAGCCCTAGGCTATATATTATAATTTTTTAAGGATTTATCTTTTAAATCCTTTATATTTCCTTATAGAAGGCAGCTAGCTTATACCTAACCTAATTACTAAAATAATAAATTCCGGAGAATCCCCTTCTACTGCCCCTACTATAGGAAGATAGTCGGAATAACTTAATATAGCTAAAGCTAACCTAACTACTTACTAGCAACTTATAAATAGAATATATACGTCCCGTAATATATAGAAAACATCTACTAATAATAAAAATAACCCTAGAAATAAAGGGCTAATTCTAGCCTTTTTAGAGTAGGCCTAATATTAGCTTACTAAATATATAGCTAAGTATTCTATAAAAGCTACTATAGCTATAATAACTTAATAAAAATAAAAGTATTATAAAAAGTTATTACTATTCTTACTTTTTTTCTATTAACTTCTTAGTCCCCCTATAATATACGCTGCGTATATAGCCCTTTTTTAGATAAATAGTTTACGCTTTATAAGAAAGCTAAATAAGCGGCTATTAACTTAGTATATTTTATAAAGTTACCTATACTGCTTATAGGCTTAATTAAGAAATATAAAATAATAATTTCGAAGTATTTTAGGATATAACACTATATAGATATAATAGATATAGTAGTTACTATAGTATCTACCTAAAAATATAATATAATCGACCCTATAGTATCTTAGAAATATAACCTAAAAAGGGCCTCTAGGGGCTATTTAAGGCCCTGTAAACAATTATACGCAGCCTTAAAGCCCTATAAGTAGTACCGGCGGTGTTGCAGTAGGTATACCGCGAATTGCGACCTTTAACGCGCAGCCGCTCTAGCAATAGTATTAACAACAATAATAATAATAATAATAACAATAACGCTAAAACTAATACTAAAACCTAAAGCCTATTAAAACGTCTACTAGAATATCTAAGACCTTATTAACGAAGCACACAGTATATAAAACCTTCTACGGAATAAGCTAATCTAATCCCTTAAAATAAATGCAATCGTTTAAACCTTCTACAACTTTATAAAACGCGTTCTATTCGGCCTTTTAAATACCGCGATTAACCTACGGCAGATACTATAGAAAAAGCTAATAAAGATAATAAAGAACACGAAAAAGAAGGTACACGCGTTGTTAACGCACAGGAAGATATATACTATAGCAGCAGCAGCAGTAGCAGCAGCAGCAGGTATAATACTATTAGCTATACTAAGCGGTATAGCTGCGCAATATAGAAAGGCAGTAGAAAATAGGCAGTATATAGGGCAACCTATAAATATCTATAAAATTACTATCTATATTAAGAATAATAATAAGCAAACTATAACTATAGCAGATATAAATATAACTATTACCTAGAAGCTTTAAGCAGCCGGACTACTAGATATAATAAAAATCAGCAGTATAAAAAAGCTATAGAGTGGAGATATTAAGGTATATATTATAGATAAGGCTATAAAAAAAGCACTGCTTAAGAAAAGGGAATAGGTGTAGGTACTAGGCAAGACGGCACGTATATAACTGCCTGCAGTACTAATAGAGGTGTATAAAGTACCTAAAAACTCGGACCTAGAAAGCTAAACACTTAAAAATAATATTATTAGGGCTAACGCAATAATTAACCTAGGCCTAGTTATCGAGAAAATAATATAGAAAAATAAAAAGGGTATAAAAGCTGCGCGAGAAAACCTAGGCTAATATACTAGCTTAATTATTGCCAGTATACGCACGGAAGTAATAGTAAATAAAGCTATTATAAAGGGATTTATAATAAGTAGATAATTACTAATAGCCTTAAAATATAAAGCAGGCTTTATAGCTATATAGTGCTTTAGATACTAGGGCTATAGGTATATTATAAGATACTATAAAAAGGACATCTAATATAGAGTATATACAGGGGAATATAATATAAAATAATATATAGTA